TTCCGTTTCCCAAAAACCAGTCCGTGGTGGCAGAGACCGTAGAGCAGTGGTTCTCAACCTTCCTAATGCCGCGACCCTTTAATACAGTTCCTCATGTTGTGCTGACCCCCAACCATAAAATTATTTTCGTTGCTACTTCATAACTGTCATGTTGCCCCTGTTATGAATCGTCATGTAAATATCTGATATGCAGGACGTATTTAGGCGACTCCTGTGTAAGGGTCGTTCGACCGCCAAAGGGGTCGCGACCCATAGGTTGAGAACCGCTGCCATAGAGGGTTGTCCCTGGGGGATCTCAGCTGGGAGGGAGGCCAGGGAGACGTCTTGGTGTCCTGAATGTTCTGGAACACGGGAGATTTGTGCCCTCTACTCTCTGCAGGTAATTCCCCAACCAAAATCAGCCCGTCTGTGTCCCACTCCGCCCTGGAAGGCTGGGCCTGGCCGGCTCCGAGCTCCCAGCTCCATCCCTCACCTGCGGCAGCGGCGGCACGCATGCTCCCTGCTTCCCAGTCTCCCTGCTGTTCCCAGGGAGCAGCTCCTCCTGATGTATTTTTGATAAAAGAGCCGGGTTTTCCTTTGAAGCAAACACGGGAGAATGGAGCCCCTGTTCCCACCGTGCCTGCTTGGTGCTGCTCAGCGGAGCTTTGGGACAGGTGTCAGCAGCAGGGCACAAAGGCCCACCAGGCCTCCGGGGTCAGGGGCTGCCTCACAAGTCGCTCCGGAAGGGTCTCTCAGACCTCGAATGTGATTCATCGGCAAACCCCGTTGCATCTGCCGTCCAAGTATATCCAGGTCTCCACTGCTCACCACTCCCCCTGCCGCCAGCCACTCTCACCGACCCCTGCAGTGGCCTCTGGTCTCCTGCTCCCGCGCCACCCCAGCCCCTCTGTGTCCTCTCAGCACAGCAGCCACCCCGGATCCCGACCCTCCTCGGCTCAAATTCCACTTGGGGGCCCACCTCTCTGGGCCTTTCTGAGCCCATTCCTCTCCCACCCGCACACTCCCTGCGTTGTCGCATTTGCCTCACCGGCCCCAGGGCCTTGGCACGTGCTGTCCGCCCCATCCTGGAGTACTTGCTGCAGTCCAGCCTCCTTCAGATCACTCAAACATCACCCCAAGAAGCCCCCCGCCACCCCACTGAAACCACAGCTCCTCCCCAACTCCATCCCCCAACCCTGACTCATTTCCCCCCAATTCCTCATGCGTTGACATCGGACATCTCTAGCCTCCTCATCAGTGACAAGCATGCTACCTCGTGCTTAGTAGGACAGCTCCATGTTTGGTGATTACCTGGATTAAGCGATGAATAGCAGGTGGTGCCTGCCACAGCCAACACCGTGGCCTGGGGACCTACTGCACGGAGATTCACCCCTCACAGTGCGGAGGCTGGAAGTTCGAGCTCAGGGCCAGTGCGGCTGGGTTCTGGTGTGAGCTCTGCCTGGCGTGCAGAGGGCCACCTTCTCCCTGTGCCCTCACGTGGCCTAGGCTTTGCGGGGACAGGAGGAGGCGGGGAGGAAGGGGAGGTGGGGAGGCCCCTCTTCCTCTTCTTTTTTTTTATTTTTATTTATTTTTTTAAATTATTGTTTGTGTTGGGTTTTTGTTTTGTTCTTATTTTGTTTTTTGGTTAATCTTCACACAAGGATATTTTTCCCCATTGATTTTTAGAGAGAGTGGAAGGGACGGGGAGAGACAGAGAGAGAAGCATGGATTGGTTGCCTCCCACACGTGCCTCCACCCGGGGCCAGGGATG